ATGTGGTTCTTGAAGATGATACATACAAAGGGCAGATCAAGATTGGGCTCAAATACATTCCAAACGTAAGATTGTGTGTTGTATTGTCAAGTCTTATCAATGGCCGTTTGGTAGAACTTTTGAAAGTCAAAAATTGATTCTAATGGGCTGTCTGGCCTGCTTTTTAAAGCAAAAAAATTGATTTCATAGCTGTTACGTGTAAAATCAGGCCGTCTTTTTTGACTAGTCATCTCAGAGGTGGGGTCTACCTTGGCAAAGCAACGGTCAATGTTTCAATTTTAAGCTGATGAAGAATCAGTACCAAACACGTCCTAAAACTAAGAAGTTGCTTTTAAAAATATTTAAATAATTTTCTAAAAATATTTTATCTAGCTAGAAAAGATTTATAAGAAGTTGACTTAAGAAAACTTCCTCCAAAAGCTTTTTTACAAGAAGTAAAAGTCATGCCAAAATGGGTCCTAAATATATTTCACATTTTTGTATGCTAAACAAATTAACCCCATCCCCCAAAATAAATAAGTAAACTAAAATTTTAATTTGTAGGTTGTTTTGGAGAAGAAGGGAAGAGAACAAGCGCACAAGAAAAATGACGTTGGCAAATCCATATGCAAGAGAATTACGAGTCTTTGGCAAGTGCAATGGTGGGAATTTCTCTTCTTTTATAGGAAAACAAATTCTACGACAAAGCACAAACCAACTTAAAGTCGATCTGGTTTTTCATTCTACAAGAAATTTTTCCTTCTCAAGTATACTTTAATTTTGTCACAATAATTTGCAGTTGTATAATATGAAAGCGCGATATTGCTTAATCAGTTGATTTTACGTCTATTTATGATGTCTGACTATTTTTAAGGAGTTTGATGAATAAAAGATTTTCATTGTCTGATATCTCTTTCATTTGTTGATTTTTCTAAAGAAAAACACGATCCAAAATTTTTCATCGACTATTATTCTTGCCTCTTTGAGCCCCATTTTTCTTCTAGAATACATTTTAATATACAGATTGATAGAGAATGTATGGTTAAAAAATAAGAAATTTTTTTGGATTTGAGTGTAATATTATTTTATTGAAAAATATATGGTTGAAAAGAAGAGAGAGAAAAATGTATTTTGAAAATAATGGAAATATTTAAACAAAAAATTGCTGGGGCAAAATATTCAATTCTAGGATAAAGTTCTTTCCTTAGCCTATTATGTTTTAGAATATTTAAATTCAATAATTTGCTATTGCTATGAAAGTATGAAAATTGACCTTCATCCCATGTTTGGGAGGGATTTTATTAGTGGTGTCAACTCGGCCACTCGGTTCGTACTGTTCACGTCCACGAGCCACTCTTGCTCATTAAAAAGCGAGCACGAGCCAAGGGGGCTGGCTCGCTAGCCGAGCCCGCTCGGCTCGTCACTATTCACGAGCGGCTCGTGGGCTCGTATATTATAAAAATAAAATAAAATAAAATTTATTCTAACAAGTGACCAGAACGGTCACTGAAATTCAGCGACCGTTCTGGTCACCTGGTGACCAAATGGTCACTGAATTTTCAGTGACCGTCCGGTCACCAATTTAAAATTTTTTTTTTCTATTTTTCTTAATTTCTTCTCCTATAAATAACTAACCCATTACAACAATTTTTACTCACTAAACTTTCATTATTTACTCTTTACTCTCTACAATTTACAAATCAATATCAACAATATCATTCATT